CGCGGGGTGATTTTAACTTACGTATGCCGATAATTCGCGATATTGCTGCTGTTTTTGCTTTTCCCAATAATGAAACAGAAACATTATCTAAGGAGGAAGTCGATGCCATTTCATCTGGTACCTGAATTTGCAAATGTTAAAAAAAAAAGAATATTATTCCGAAATATTCAGTATTGTATGCAAATATTAAGATTAATTTTGAATTTCAAAATTGAAAAGAATACTTATTAAATTTAATGATTTGCAAATTTTTGAATTATATCGATAAATCAATCGATTTGAAATGAATTATTATTTCGTTTTTGTATCATACATAAATATTACCCAAAATTTATGATTTCAAAGTTTTAAATGATACTTTTTAAAGAAAAAAAAAATGTCAACCTTCAAATTTTTACAACTTATATAAAAGACGAGATGAAATTCAAATTAAAATGCAAAATGATTAATTCACACAAGATAAAATGATGATACTGTACAACATTATTGAAAAATCAAACAGTAATATAAATATCATCACTATTGTTGTTGCCTTTTGTTTTTCTCAATTTAAATAATTTCGAAACAATTTCAGCAAATAAAAAATGCATTATTACTCTATTAAATTAAATTCGCTTAAAATGTAATAAGAATTTGATTCATTTTAAGATTTCTTTAAACAAAAGAAATCGATTCATTAAAAAATTTCTTTAAACTTAAATATAACAATATTTAAGATTTACCCTTAAATTTTGTGATACGTCATCATCATCCTTGTCCATATAAGTATCGATAAGAAATTGCGATATTTGTGTACCCGATTTAGATGATTCCGCGAAATGTACAAGCTCTTTGTTAAGCATTTTACGAAACTGAAAAAAAAAAGAAAGAAAATGAAAAAAAAAAACAAACAATCAAATGTGATAATTCAAAGATTACGCTTTTTTTTTTTACTTTAGTCTTATCAGCTATAATCACAGCAGATAACAAAGTGTATAGAAGGCAATGTCGAGAACAAGCTCGAAGTTATTTCATGACAATACTATTATTAATCATATCAATTTAAGTTTTCTTTAATTCATATTTCGTCATCAATTCCCGTCAGTTATTAATGCAAAAGACATGCGATGCATTTTAACTACCAATTATCCACTATTAAATTTAACCTTTGGTCCCTTTATCCTTCACTCTTTCCACCCATATTCCTAACATATCTTAACTATCCATAACTCAATCACATCTATAAAACCAACCTCTTTTTTGTTTAATATATATACATACATTAACTACAAGAGGCATCATTCATTGTCATTAGCATTGTCTTTGACACAACC